CTCTCTCTCTTTCTCTCTCTTCTCCTGCTCAAAAAACCATCTCCGGTGCCTTCTTTCGGAAAAAAGGCATCGTTTAACTGATCGCCTCTCTCTCTGTGTGTGTGTGTGTGTGTGTGTGTGTGTGTGGTGCCTTCTTTAGGAAAAAGGCATCATTTAACTGATCGCCTCTCTCTCTCTGTGTGTGTGTGTGTGTGTGTGATGCCTTCTTTAGGAAAAAGGCATCGTTTAAGTGATCGCCTCGATTACAATATTAGACATGCAGCGAGCGCTCACTACCGTCTTCACCCGAATAGAACGCCAGGGGGGATCTGCAATCAGATCCGCAATCAGATTCATATTCCTAATTTGCTGGCACTGGATCGCAGTTTCCCCCCCCCCTTTTTTTCCATTATCAGCAGAGCGCCCACTGATCAAAAAATAAAAACGAAAAAATAAGACCGTGAATGATCGATTAATCAATCTGATAAGAATTGGTCGTAAAAAAAAAACAGAAAAAAATATATAAATATGCATTTCTCACAACGAATATCCAATGGATATTGTGTAGGTAATTCTCAAAAACGCAATATCACCCGGGAGCTTTACAACCGGCCGGATCAGCTGAAGCTATCAGGACAGGCGATCTATCATTCAAAAAATCTGCAGGCGATCTTTTACTACAAATTACAATACAAAGTAAGAGCACTAATCATCGACGATCGCTTCGTTCGTGCCTCCGTTAAGTTCACCAGAACCCGCCATGCCGGATGGATGCCCACCAACACCACCACTCCCGAACACAACGCCCCCTCATTTCGGCTGCACCAGACCGGAAAGATACCTTGTATACATTCGTTATCAGGTTGCGTTTGTATTCGGGGAAAGACCATAGTACGCCCGCGCAGAGTGGACCGACCGCCTATTCCATTCCTTATTACAAACAGAACTCGTTGTCGCTGTGTGAATTTGTGGTCGTCGGGGCATACAAGGAAAGCAGGTCGTGCAAAATGTAGGAGCGGAGGAGGAAACAAAGCAGGCGGCGGTGAAGACGACCGTGTGCTGGGAATGGGGGGAATTCATAGAGATGGGAGAGCAACGGCTAAATACTGTATTTGCTGTGGAACACGATTTCAATTAAACGAATCAGTAAGTACATACATCACTCGTGCCCCATTCAAAACTCAGCCCGCGCGCAGCCCTCTACGCTGGGTTTCGCCCTGTTGCGCTCGTCAGTCAGGAGGCGAAAAAACCCTCTCCCTAGCCCCGCGGCTACCACCTCACACATTCCATCTCCGAGTGTAGAGAGGCAAAAAACCTCTGCCTACCGTCTTCTTCCCCCGAACATAACGCATATGCGTTGTAAACGAATGCAACCCATAGCTTGCTTTCTATTCGAATATAAAACATGCGATGATTCTATTCGAACGCAAGCTGGTGTATATATTCGACTACAACACACAAGAATTCGATTCGAATTTTTTAAATTTTTTTCAAAAACTCGAATTCAGTGCACATGCGTTGTATTCGGGTGAAGAAGGTAGCCTGCCTCACACATTCCACCTCCGATTGTAGACAGGCAACCCCTCTCCCCTACCTTCTTCACCCGACTACCTTCTTTCCCCCGAATACAACGTACGGTCATTATAGCCGTATTTGGGGCATCTTTCAGTCTAGATACAGATATAATGACCGTACGTTGTATTCGGGGGAAGAAGGTAG